AGTGGATATTTTTTGTTTTATTTCACTGCTATCATATAGAACCTTCTTCAAGTCACGACGATTATTCTATAGAGGTTTTTTTTTTAAATTTAGGAAGGCAAAACGTCAGGCTTTAATAATTTTATTTCAATTAAATACTTATATATCTGGATATTTGTTCTTTTATTTCATTGGTGTTATATTTAAGAACCTTAACCAAGTCACGACGATTATTTAAGCCAGTTTTTTTTTTAAATATAGGAAGGCAAAACGTCTAGCTAACATAAATTCCAATTAAAAAATATACATTACTGGACATTTCTTGTTTTATTTTACTCGTATTATATTTATGAACCTTTTACGACGATTATTTAAGCTATTTTTGTTTTAATTAGTAAGGCATAATGTCAACTATTCTTATATGTCAATTGAAAATATCATCATTTCACAGCCCGTCACAAGTCCACTACTGAACATAGGTCTCCTCCAAGGAATGCCACAAAGCAGGGTCCTGAGCCACTTTGTATTGTTATGCATCCATCGACTTTCTGCATGTCTTACCAGGTCGTCACTCCATCTAGTGGGGGGACACCCTACACTTCGTCCGCCGGTACGAGGCCGCCACTTCAGAATCTTTTTTCTCCACCGGTTGTCGGTTCTTCGAGCTATATGGACGGCCCATTGCCACTTCAGCTTACTATTCCGTTGGGCTATATCGGTTACTCTGGTTCTCATGCGAATATCCTCGTTTTTAAGTCTAAATTTGAGGGGAAATCCTCATGGATACCTTCAGATACGGAACAACGACAACAAAAAGGTTATGCCGGACTCCTACCGGCCAAAATCCCATGGTTGTCACCATTAGCGTATATGAGGAGTCCCTTGATTTCCGTTCGGAACCCAATCGGGCCCCCTGTCTCGCTTTGCTTTATTAAAACACGTCCCGGGGGCAGTCCTCACCATCTGGATGCTTGGCGGTCCACGACTGTGCGTTTTACTAGGAATTTTCTTCCTCGTAGATCTTTTATGTGGAATTGTTTACCACTGGCGATTTTTCCGAACCGATACGACTTGGGACCTTCAAGAAAAGAGCTTACACCTTTCTAAACGGCCGGCAACGCATCTGCAATTTCCCTGGTGTTGCGGTTGTTTATGGGCGGCGGTAGTCACTTGCAGTCAGGTGAGTCGCATGCTTGTTTGCTCACTCTTCTATAAAAAAGAGTCCTTAGTGCCCCTAGCACCCTCTCATTGCTTCACGGTGCTCGAGACCACTTTCGAGTTACCGTCCTCCTCAGGTGTTACATCACTATACGTTCGGAGACCCAGCCCCGAGCGCCCGTAACCCCTGGGGCCCCGTTTCTGGTAGGGGAACACCATCATCAAAGTGAGGGCCGTGACGAATGTCTTGGCGATGTCGTCTCCTAGCGGGATCTGTCCTTTCCCGACATCGCTCAGCAGCCTCCTTCTGGGCTATAACGAATTCACAGAAGGTGGCTACGGCCCTCCACGTGGAGTCCCTGCTCAGCATCGCCGATACGACTGCTGGCATGGAGAGGACTTACCAGGACCGTCCGCTCCCGTTCCCACGCTGCGCACGTTGCCAGCGTATGGGATGCGGAGTACTGTTCCTGCCCACCGCAGTGGAAACAGTTCGCCGTCGCTTCGCGTTCGATCTTACACAAATAATCACCGAAGCACCAGTGCCCGGTCATTATCTGTGTAAGTCTGCAGGTGAATCTTTCTGTTCTTCTATGCATCCAGGCTTCAAAGTGCGTTTGCGCTCATAACGCTCTTCAGAGAGACGAGCGCCCCATGTTACGAAAGCCTTAAGTCGTTCCTGCCGCTTAACTTCTTCCGACACCTCATCTGGCTCACTCCTGACGTTCTGGTGGAGGACGCGCGTCCGGTCGTACACTCTCGTATCCATGTCCGCCAGTATGTCCAGAGGTGGAAAGCGAGCCAGGACTGACGTCGCCTCAAAGGATATCGTGCAGTATCCTCGCACGATCGGTGTGGCCATCCTCCGCTGCACCCTGTAGATTTTTAGCTCTACAGCGTCGGATGGCCAGCCTTTTCGCCCAAACAAGCGCCCCGTACAAGGATACGGACCGTATCACTCCTACTCCAACTTCCGTTGGAGTCGGTAGGCATTTTTGTTGAAACTTATTGTAAGGGGCGGTTTTTCCGGGTCAATAAGATTTAAGGATCTACAAGAAAAGAGCCTACTCCTTTCTAGAAGACAGGCAAAGCACCTGCTATTCCCCTGGTGTTGCAGATGTTCATGGACAACGGTGATTAATATCAGGTGAGTCGTATGCTCGTTTTCCTATATTTCTAAAAAAAAAAAGATGCGGCATCACCTCTAAAAACTAAATTAGAATGTCTCCATAGAAGTCACCTGTCTCCGGTTTACTACATATGGTGAGCCATACGAAACAGTAGCATTAAGGTGCTATTTTTTTGCTAATTAATGCTGTTATTTTATGATAGCATGGTCTATCCCCTGTTTAGCAAACCTATTCGTGCTGCAACTATATAGTAGTATATATATATATATATATATATATATATATATATATATATATATATATATATATATATATATATATATATATATATATATATATATATATATATATATATATATATATAGCTACAGTGTGGCTTTACCAAGTTACAGTGCATTAGAGGAGCTCACATCTGGCATTTCAATAGTCCAAGCGTGACGATCCGACTGAACCCTAAATAAAAAGGCAAAACTCGAGGTTTGGCTCTCTACCATTTCGTCCTCCAATATTGGACCAATTTAAAAAATATTTCATAAACTGAATAAAAATCGACTCCACCGGGGAAGGACCACACTCTCACAGAATACCATCGTAAAATAGCAGCTTAACACTGCTGTGTTTCGTATGGTGAGTGTAGAGAACCGGAGACCCTTTTTACTGGAAAAGAGACATTCCATCTTAGTCCTCACGGGTGACAACAGATACGCATTTTGTTTCGCAGGCGAGGATAGATGTAGATGTCTATGGGCCACAGCAACCACTTACCATCAGGTGGACTGTGTGCTCGTTTGTCACCCTATCCTATAAAAAAAGAAGGATATAGACTGTGTCCCTATGTTTTTAGTTTTTCAGTATTAGTTAACAAATTTGAACACTAGGCCTCTGTTTACAGCGGTCTAAACAGGCAATTATCATCAAAAAGTAAAACATAAGGACATAGAAGAGGTTGATATTTATTTTACTGGAAAAACTCATTGCCACAACGTAATAAACCAGAAAGAAAACATGCAAGAGCGTTTGTATGGAGAAAAAACCACACGCATTTCCTCTTGCAAATCTCTACAACTTGGCATGGGCATACAGTTCACAATTGTCATCATCATTAGAGTCCACGCCTCAAATGGAAGTATCATTATTCTGTGTCCGATATATATTTAGTTGAGATTTATTATATTATGTAGCATGTATAGTTGCTAGTGTTCTGTGTCCGATATATATTTAGCTGAAATGTATTATACATATTGTGTAGTTGCCAGTGATGACCTATGGAATTGTGACGTGGTCCCTCATTGCAGGCCGTATGAGGACACTCAAGGTCGCTCAGCGAGCTATGGAGAGGGCTATGATCGGGGTTTCTTTTCGTGATAAACTTAGAAATGAGGATATCCGCAGTAGAACCAGAGTGACCGATATAGCGCAACGGATTAGTAAGCTGAAGTGGCAGTGGGCCGGCCATATAGCTCGAAGAACCGACAACTGATGGGGACAAAAGGTCCTCGAGTGGCAGCCTCGTACCGGCAGGCGAAGTATAGGGCGACTGCCCACTAGATGGAGTGACGACCTGGTGAGACATGCAGCAGGTCGATGGATGCAGGTGGCTCGGGACCGTGCTTTGTGGCATTCCTTGGGGGAGGCCTATATTCAGCAGTGGACTTTTGAAGGGCTGTCATGATGATGATATTATGTAGTATGTATGACTCGGGAACAGTAGAATCGTTCGCAATTCGCACAGCAAAAGTACAGTCATAAAATGAAATGATACAAAGTGGTGTCTACTCCGAAAGAAAATAAAATTTCGTTTGATAAAAGTAGTAACTGGAATTATAAAGTATACGAACTTTATTACTTACTGAGTCACTCATCAAAAACCCAAATCACTTCTAGGTTACTTACTTAGAAATTTAAAATTTGGTACTTATCTAGATAGACCATTAAGGGAAGGGTATGTAAAGAAAGTTTTCTATATCGCGATATTCGGTGTCAAAAATTTGTATCTACCTGAAATTAATCGCAACAATAAATTTGTGGTCCTTTAACTCTGATAGTTTTAATTAAAAAATAAATAATTGAAGAGTAAACACAAGAAGAAACGTTAGAGGTACAATATTAAAAAAAAAAAATAATGATGTCCCTCCAAAAACAAATGTAAAATGGCGGCCTAATAACAGCTGCTTATTCATAGGATCTATAGGAATGTGAAAAGTTCTTGAAACTGTTATGGACTTTGTGATCGATCAGATCTCAACTGTTCAATTGAAACCGTAACTTCTGTACGATTGGCGGTCCACTACTGTGCGATTTACGAGGTTTTCTTCCTCGCACGACTTCCTTGTGGAATCGAATACCACCAGCAATTTATCCGGACCGATACGAGTTAGGTACCTTCAAGAAAAGAGCCAACTGCTTTTTTTAAAACGCCGGCAACGCATCTGCAATTTCTCGGATGTTGCAGTTGTTCACGGGCGGCGGTAGTCACTTACTCGTTTGCCCACTATCATATATAAAAAAAACCGACTACCCCGAACGTTGTAGTACCGAATTTGGCCCCACTTTTCACATTTAAGTTTCTGGAGGGATATATTTAGCTTTGTTCTAGTGTGTGCTTCCCTTTACCGTCCGATAACTTTAATTGACCCGCAATAAAACTGCTGTTAATTGATTCGTTATTTCAACACACATCTGTTAATATTTATTTGGTCATTACTCGCAAACTGGTCTTCATGCAGAGTAAAAATGAGAGGGGAATTATTCGTTATATTTTTTAATATTATTCAATTCATTGTTTGTACATACACTCCGGTGAGTATTATATTTATAACTTTTAAACAAAAAGTAAATGCCATAGAGTTATATGTACTACGTACTAGAGAAGCCATTCCGAACATTGACTATGTTCAACTGAACTGTAGTGCAATCCCTACAAACTTAAATATTGCTTAATCGAAGATTTGTGAATTCCATAAAATAATTATTATTACATTTTATTTAGAAATATAATATGTTTGTTTAGATTAAATTAAGATATTTTATATTAAATTCTTATATTTATTTTATATTAATATCTTAGTTTATATCAAATTAAAGTCTTCGCCCATGCGCGACTACTACTCCCACGCATGCGCGAAGACATAGAGTAAGACACAATTTTTGTTTGGAATGGCTTCTCTAGTACGTAGTACATATAACTCAATGGTAAATGCTGATTTTAAATTCCTAAAAAGCAGTTATTTTGTCACCCGTAGGGGTGGATTTTTTCCTCTTTATAACCCATCTGAAGTATAATCTATTTAATAAAAAAAAATCAAAAGTAAAAATAAGTAAATGAAACGCGATAAAATCCGTAAAAATAGTTTTATTCAAAAAAAGAATCTTCAAAATCAAGTCTCAATTGGCGATATTTGCCTTAGTTGCCAAGCGTGGCAACTATGGCAAATATCTTCTTATGATGAAATCTATGGAAGAGGTCCATGTCAGCAGTGGACGTTTTAGGCTGTAATGAATGGATGTATAGAAGATAATCTACCTTTACATTACAGGGCGGCGATGAAGTGCAAGCCGGAAGTGTGCTCTTGCCAGCAACGCGACGTGGCAGATATCTAGCAAATATCGTCCGGAGGCAGGCAGTTGTGCGTAAATATATAAAAAAATAATAAAAATAACTTTATTTTAGTCCACGAGTCCGTAAATTGTTAATAATGTAGTTAGTAACAATATTGAATTTCTTGTTATTAACTACATTACTACGTGTTAGAGCCATGTTGCAGCTATATTATTGTTGTAGCACGAATGTCGGTTCGACTGGGGTAGCACCACGCTCTCACAGAACACTAGCATAAAATAGCAGCTTAATGCTGCTGTGTTTCGTATAGTAAAGTACCGGAGACCCTTTTTACTAGAAGCGAGGCATTTCCATCTTAGATATCGGGGGGTAACAACGCATCTGTATTTATTTATTTATTTTAAAACAGTGTACATGCTGGCTTACAGTATGCCCAAAACGCCAGTATGCTGGTTTACAAATTACAGTTTAAAATATTAAGTAATAGTACACGATACCTACATGTCAAAAAGTTCAAATAGATTAAAAAATACATGTCCAAATAAATTAAAAAATACATGCAAATAGATTAGATGTCAAATAGATTACATATCGAAAAGATTAAGCAAAATGTCATTGTCAAATTAACTAACCTAAGATTAAATTAATATATTACAATATGTCAAAATAGAAGGGCTTTATTACATAGTTGCCTAAAGCTATCAGCAAATAAGTCAGTCTCGTAATCATGTGCGAGCATATCTCCTATAAGCCGTATAGCGCGAGTAGTGCGCACCTGGTGCGCGCCGGCCGCCATAGAAGGCTCGGCCGCCGCAGCGGTGCCACCGTACCCTCCACATCATAGCCCAGCCGCTTCAGAGCTTTAAATTTTGATTCTTAACTGAGGATAACTGTAGATGTATATGGGCCACAGCATCCACTTACCATCAGGTGGATAGTGTGCTCGTTTGTTACTCTTATTCCGTAAAAACAAAAACTTGTGTTTGCGCATACACTCGTGCACTATAATGCTGTCCTGTGTATAAGGCCGCCGTGACCGAATTTCGGTCTGGAAGAGGACTTTTTGTTATTGGCATGCTAGTCGAATAGCCGTATATTATTAAATAGCAGGTTAATGATGCTGTGTTTCGTATGGTGAGAGTAGAGAACCATTAAATCTAAGTAAGTTTCAGAGATGACAAGGCAACTACATTTTTCACAGACACCAGATATAGCAACAACATTTGAACACTTATTTGAAGGACTTTGCACACTTGTTTGAACACTTATTGGCGCAACCTACCAGACATGTTTTGCAAACACATCTCTCCACAGTACGTTGATAAACAACAAACAAGATGGATGACAGAAACAGGACGCAGTGTGCCTGTATTATTTAAGTGCATGTCATTATTTATTACATGTGTAAAAATAATACAACAAAATAAAATATTTAAATACAAGATTATTTATTTCATTCATAAGTACTAGTCTGTCATCTTCACCCAAAGGCTTTATCTTTTCGGATAACAGCTGACCATACAAATAACATTCATTCGATTGTTTTTCACTGTCTTTATGCTTGGACCTAATTTTAAAACGTACTGCACACTACCGTCCCGCTGGACAACCCTCGCGCGAATGAACTAAGCTTGGGCAAAAAATATCGATATATCGAAATAACGATATTTTTAAATAAAAATATCGATATATAGCGTCGATATTTTAATCGCGATATATCGACATATCGATATTTATTTTAGAGTATCGAATTCGTATCAATTTCGATATATTTTAAAATATTGTATCGTTTTTTTCGTCGTACCACCGTCAGTAGATAAAATCCTTAATCCTTATCTTTACATCATTCAATTGATGAAGATATATCGATATATCGATATTTATCACACGATATTTATCGATACTGTTTAAAAATATAGATTCGATATATATCGATATATTTTTCCCTTTGCCCATCCCTAGAATGAACTATGCGCAAGTCTGGCAGGTTACGCAACATTTGAACACTGTCGACTTTGAACGCTTTGTTGTGCGCTAAAAAACCGAAACCGCTTGGCAAAGTGCATTTCTTAGGGTTTTTATTTGTACATTGATTTTAAGTCTCGTGCTACACATAGCTTCAAACGAGTGTTCAAATGTTAAAAGCTGTATCTGGCGTCGGCTTTAAACTAACTTCCCGATGAGCTAGAGACAGGACATTTTGAACTTAGCTCGGAATCGGATGACAAATTTTTTTTAAAAAAACTTTATAAGTATATTAAAGTTTTAAACACTTTATCCACAGGACGGAACCGGTATAAAATTCAACAAGGATGCCGACAGGGTAAGTTTAATTGTATTTATTAAGGATTAAAGTATGAAGCTGGCTTATATTGAAATATTTCATGTAGTGTAGAAAATACCGCGTAATGACGGTGTAAGAATATATCCAATATTCTATATGGTCACGTGGGTGTCGGAAAATGTAATGGAGGGAAACAAACCAGGGAGATGGGCAGCAGCGTCTTTAAAATAACGACTAAAAATAAAAAAAACAACCCGCTTGCTGAAACAATCTATGGGGGAGGCCTATGTTTAACAGTGGATTTTTATAGGCTGTAATGGATGAATGTATAGAAGATAATCTACCAGGAGCACATGACTCACCGAGAAGTGAAATTATTAAATCAACAGTAACATTACAACTATTGCAAAATTCCCCTATGAGGGAATCTATGGGGGAGGCCTATGTTTAACAGTGGATTTTTATAGGCTGTAATGGATGAATTTATAGAAGATAATCTACCAGGAGCACATGACTCATCGAGAAGTGAAATTATTAAATCAACAGTAACATTACAACTATTGCAAAATTCCCCTATGAGGGAATCTATGGGGGAGGCCTATGTTTAACAGTGGATTTTTATAGGCTGTAATGGATGAATTTATAGAAGATAATCTACCAGGAGCACATGACTCATCGAGAAGTGAAATTATTAAATCAACAGTAACATTACAACTATCGCAAAATCCCCCCTATGAGGCAATGGGGGAGGATTACGTTCGGTAGGGGACTTTAATAAGCTGTAACAGAGGAAGAAAAAGAACATGAGCCTGTACAAGTTAAGATGCTCACTAATTACTTTTATCGAAATTAAAAAAAAAGAAAGAAGGAATAATTATTCGGAAAGAAATAGTCGACCTAAGTTTTTTTTTATTTTTAGTCGTTATTTAGAAGACGCTGCTGCCCATCTCCTGCCTGTTTCCCTCTGTCGCCTCTTACGACACCCACGGGACGATATGGGGTAGTGGATGTTCTTACACCGCCACTACACGGTGCTATGCTATGGTATATGCTATGCTCTGGTTTTCCTTCAAAACGTATAAGTCTTCCAGATCAATGCAGAGTCGAAAAAGAAGGTGGACGTGCTCTCTGAGGAGTTACTTCCCTACATCATCGCGGAGCAGGAGAGACGTACGACGCTGTACAAGCGCATCATGACGGCCATACAGAACGGTGAGAAGGGGGTCACCATCGCCGAGCTCAGGAACAAGCCCCCCCTTATTATTAGGAAAGGTGGGCAATGAAACTAGTTTTATTAATTTAAGAGATTGATATTAATGTTCTCCATACCGTATTTCAGCCTCAAAGCAATTCGCTGGTATTCCATGCGATCGTGGTCCTTCCCTGAGCCCAACCCTTTTGTCGAACCGATCAATTCATGCTGCAGCCATAATAATGTCCTCCAGACCGAATTTCGGTCGCGGCGTCGTCTCAACGAACACTAGCCATCGGCGCAAAGCAGAATTGTAGTGCACAAGTGTGTGTGCACATAGGTGCACTCTTTTTTTTGCGCCCAGAAGCAACTGGAAAGGGCTACCCCGTTACGCGTGGAGGTGGTAAATGCTTTATGCATACCACGACAGCCGGTCTGTCGTGGTTATGCGGGACTCACTGTGACTATCCTAACCAGGACCCTAAGTGATACCCACTAAAAACCACCTGTGGGACTGGCAAGTGGCTGATTAAGCCTCTTTGCCGGATCGGAAGCGACCCTCTTTTGGAAGAAGAGGGCGCAGGCAGGTGCACTATCTACTCCTTCACTTTTATAGTTCGATGTAGGCTTGGGCAAAAATATCTATATATTGAAATATCCATATTTATTTTATAAAATATCGTTATATATCGTCGATATTTTAATATGCGATATTACGATATTTATTTTAGAGTATCGAATTCGTATTAATTTCAATATATTTTAAAATATTGTATTAATGACAATACATGTAACTACAAAAGGAGGTACAAAAGTGTTCATGCGTGGTTGGTAGTCGTTTTTTTTTCGTCGTCAAATATTTGGACCTTATCTTTACAACATGCAGATGATGACTACATATATATATATATATATATATATATATAATATAATATAGATCATGCAAATGATGACGATATATCGATATTTATCACGTGATATAAATTGATAATGTTTAAAAATATCGATTCAATATATTATATCGATATTTTTTACCTAGACCTTGAAAGCCAATCTGATACGATTGGTGAGAAATCAGACGCAAGACTAATGACCGGATGTGCTTTATGAGGCATCGGGGTGAACACACCGCCAACTTTCGGCTCCAGGCTGCTGCTGAGTATTTCTTGACAGATAAACTCAAAAATTGATTTTCGGCTCAACCCGGGATTCGAACATCGATTAACAGTCATGTTTACGACCACTCGACTACTCACTTTATTATTACTTACTCACATCACACATTAATATGAATGCCTCCAAAATTTGACCGATATTTTCTATCGACTTCAAAAAGGACACACAGTCGATTTGAGTACCTCCTGTACTCAATTCGACTGTATGTTCTTTCTTTTTGATGATCATTTTTTTATTTGAAAGCTGGTGCTTCTCGTGGGGTCCCATATAAATTTGACCAAGGTCTGCATGAGATCGCTTTTAAATTTGACCAAGGTCTGACCAATAGTTTTTGAGTTATTCTTAATAATTTATATTGATGTCGGTTGTGCAACATTTTTAATTTTTAATTATTTAAGAACTGCTTTCTCGTGTTTAATTTGCCATTGTCACCTTTTACGACATCCACGGTATGATATGGAGTGGTGGATACTCCTTCACAACCATTATACGATGTTTTTATCCGACTGCGGAGGGTAATGTGTTTATAAATTTAGAAGTAACGTAGTGAAAAAACTTCCATCACTTTCATACCAAAATGATCCTAATTTTTTGTATGGAACATTATTTAAGCTTATTTGCAATGAATTTAATAATACTTTTACTTCTAAAACATTCTCCTTGAACAGTCGGAAGTCATTCAATGAATGGGCGACAGTAGGAGTCCATAAGAGCAGGCATAGGTTATATGATCTTTACCATGAAAGGTCATATAATCATAGCGTCGAATTTAGGGAATATGTAAAAAAATATTCAAAAATATTTAAAAGAGTGTGCTCCATAGCCAAGTCTTTGCATTTGAGCAACAAAATTAAGACGGCTTCCAATAAAATTAAAATGACATGGAGTATAATTAATAGCGAAACTGGTAAGATCAACTCTCGCAATTCAAATTACCAGTTAAGTGTTAACAACAAATTAACTGTATCAGATCAGGACGTAGCAATGGTTTTTGAGAAATATTATACTGATATTCCGATCTTGACCACTAAGTCACTGAATTCTTCTCCTGCCGTCGCCGAATCATTACTTAAACAAAATGTAAATGTGTGTACAAAGAATTTTACATTTCATAAAGTGTCATCAAAAGATATTGTAAAATATTTTAAAACTATTGATGTTAAGAAAACTGCGGATCTGTGGGGGATTTCCGTTAAAGTTATTGCGTCTATAATAGATACAAACGCGCCTCATTTAGCTATTATTTTTAATACTAGTATCGAATCTGGTGTGTTTCCTGATTTAATGAAGCATAGTAAAGTAATTGATACCTTTATTTAAATCTGGTAGTACATTAGACCCCGCCAATTTTAGACCTATTTCTGTACTACCAACACTTAGTAAGATTTTTGAAAAAATTGTTCTTGTTCAAATGTTAAATTTTTTTAATATAAATAATTTACTTCATAAAAATCAATTTGGTTTCACAAGGGGTCGCTCGACAACTGATGCCGGTGTTGAGCTGATTAAATATATCTTTAATGCATGGGAGAATTCACAGGATGCTTTGGGTATATTTTGTGACCTATCCAAGGCCTTCGATTGTGTTCACCATGAAACATTAATCAGGAAACTTCAACACTACGGTGTAAGAAGTGATGCCCTTAAATTAATTATTTCATATTTAAGTAAGAGAACGCAAAAAGTTGTCATTAACAATATGAGCTCTTCCGGATCGATGGTACAAATGGGCGTGCCTCAAGGCTCAATTCTCGGCCCCTTTCTGTTTCTTGTATACATTAATGACTTACCTTACATAGTAGGGGATAACCATGATATAGTATTATTTGCAGATGACACTTCTTTAATTTTCAAATTAAGTCGACAGTTACTAAAATATGACGAAGTAAATAATGCTATCTCTAAATTAGTAAATTGGTTCGATGTTAATAATTTGCATTTAAATGGCACTAAAACAAAATGTATGAAATTCGTGACTCCAAATGTCAAACAATTAAATACTAATGTAATTTTAAATGGGGAGAAACTGAGTCTTGTAGATACCACCATTTTTCTTGGAATCACACTAGACGCGAAGCTTCAATGGAGCCCCCATATATCAAAATTAGCAAGCAGACTTAGTTCTGCAGCATATGCTGTAAAAAAGATTAGAAGTTTAACCAGTGTTGAAACAGCTAGACTAGTTTACTTCAGCTACTTCCATAGCATAATGTCGTATGGTATTTTGCTATGGGGACACGCAGCTGACACTGAAATTATATTTGTTTTGCAGAAGAGGGCCATAAGAGCAATTTATGATTTAAAGCCTAAAGAGTCGCTGCGACAAAAATTTAAGGAAATTAATATATTAACTTTGGCCTCTCAATACATTTATGAAAATGTAATGTACGTACACAAAAATAAAAGTAGTTTTGCTAAAATAAGTGATATTCATTCTGTAAATACTAGGAACAGACACAAGCTAGTAGTACCAGTTACTCGACTCCATCGAGTCAGTAATTCATTCTTGGGGCGATGTATACGCTTTTACAACAAAATTCCAGAAAATATACAAAGTTTGACCTGTTCAAAGTTCAAAAACTTATTAAACTAAGTTTGTATAAAAAGGGTTATTATAATATTAAGGAATTTATGGATGATAATAACCCCTGGAAATGAGGTGATCGCTACCAAGCTATTTCTAATTTGTTGTGTTGTTAATTTGTGTAACATCATGATTGTAAGCTGTTATTTAAAAAAAAAGTCCCGCTGGGTTTCTTGCTGGTTCTTCCCAGGACAGAGGTTTTTTCCAAACCAGTGGTAATCAAACAAAAGAGTGACTTTCAATAAGTATTATTTATAATCTATATTGAATAAAAAAAGTTTCTGTTTCTATCAGCGTATACAGGGTTATTTTTCAAAGAGTAGCCAAATTTTAAACTTAAGTTCAAATATATAAATAATGATATACCGTTATTGCAGTTTTTAAAAATACGAGAAAATAAGGCTTTTACTTTTATTTGAAATTATCCCAAATTGAATGTGATTTATGGGCAACAACGTTTTTGCTTACCGATAGACCTTTACGAATGTGTGCAGCGCAGTAAAATTAGTTAAAATAATGCATTAACACGCATTTTGAATTTAAAAGATAAAAAGTATAGAATGTTTGAGATTTTTTTTAATTAACTTTTCTTCACCATTTGCCTATATTACTTATTCTGTACCTTCTCTGCAAAGGGGAATGCCCACCGTTCATAGACACTTCGGCCATAGGTGCCCACATATAAAAGCATGTGGAAATGATAATATGCAAGTAAAAGAATGAAATGGTTAAGGAATTGGTTTAAAAAAAGTCCGTATTTTTAAGATATAAAGGTTTTTTATTTTCACAAGAACAGTTTTTAATAACAAATGACTTCGTATTTTCGTGACATTTAAACCACAATTGACACAGCGTTAATGTACTCTTGAGAGAGTTACTGAGTGCTAGGAAGCTAGAGTGCCAATTTCGTGCAGAGGTTATCGTAAGAAGTGGGAGCGGGATCCATTTTCAGGCCGTGGTCAATATGGCGAGAAGAATTATCGGAGTCCATTTAGAAAGCTTATTCGTTGCTTAGACAACAAATCCGCGAGAAAACAAACAAAATAACACAAATGCAAAGTCATTTGACTTGTGACTATTTAGTTTTGATAATTATGACATGGGCCTAGCTATCAGATTCGATGTTGCCAATCATCAGACATAAAATCGATAAATAGATAGCGATTTTTTTATTCGATTTATAATTTCATTAAAAGAATAATCTTTGATTCGCTTTAAGTTCTGCACGCCTTTTAAAATATGTTTTGTTTTATTTATTTAAATTCCATTCTAAATGTATTTTTAAGAACAGATAAAAATAACAGTTAAATTGTGCAGTAACGTTTTTGTTATTTTCTAAAGAGTTCATGGTAAATGAACTAGCAATTCGCTTGTTTAATTATCATTACATCATAATAATTATCGAAAATAATATTACCATTATAATAATGACAACATAAAAAATCGATTGAAAAAACAAAATCGACTTTTTTTTTTACGAGATTTGTGATTGGCAACACTTTTTATTTTACCCACAAACTAATGACTTGCGGATTTACCTAATTTCATTTTTATCTTTTCGGTACTTTTTTTTTTGTGGAAAAATATTGCAGTCTTTTTTGGATACATACATACTGCGATTAATTACCATAAAAAAAGATGTATTTTTTTAACAAATGCAAATTGTTGGGCGTTTCATGGCCAGAATTGGGCATTCCCCTTTGGTCGGTTATTGCAAAATAACCCTGTAAACCTACGTATGTTTGTTCCTTCGCGGCGCTCTAGTGACCAAACGCGTGGGCGGATTCATACGTCAATAGATTTGTTTTAAATAAAACTAGTTTTTAGGGATTCTATCGCGTATATTAACTTATTCGTATTTTAAAATCCCAACGTTTCGAGGACTTTACAGCACCATGATCACAGGGGGACTGAGGCACTGAGGTTTTCGACATCTCAATGTCATAGTTTTTTTTTCATCAATATGGCCTTTGGTATTGTGGTTATGTCACAATAATTCTGCCAATGTCCGGTCTTTGGTCTGTCACACCTTGTCTTGAGGTTTTTCGGTGGGAAAGGAGTGAGCGGTTATTAGGTGAAAATGTGGATAAAAACAAAATACATGAATTATGGGCCACACAATATAGAGGAAACATCTAGTTGTGTAGGGGATAATGTCATAGTTAACCACGCCTAATCTTGTGAGTGTCAACATGACAGTAAGCAAAATTCAATATGGCGACAACAAATTGACATTGATTAGGTCTTTGAAAATTACATTTAGGTTTTTGTAGCCATTTTTAATTTTGAATGACCATTTAGGATCCTTAACGATTTAAAGTTGGTGAGCGACGAGTCTCGCTTAAATTTTCAAGAATTTTAAAAATTTCAATGTGGCAAAGTTTCTTATATAATAGTATAATGGGTATAGTACGAGAGAATAATATGGTCATCCGGTTAATATGGTCACTTTCTTATAACTCAAAAACAACAGCCTTTTTTATATTAGATACGATATCTCTACATCTCCATTTTTGATTTTTTTTTCTGCCGAATTAGTAGATACTTATCTAGATATTTATTACTTGTAATATAAAATCTAAATAAATAATTTATATAATAATAATAACTATATTTCATAAGTTGGTAAATTTTTTTTCTCCTTCAAATATTTCATGTAAACCGCACTAAATACAAAAATGTTTGTGACCACTGTCAGTAGGTAAAGAGGTCATTATACGAAATTCTTCGTGCTCCGCGACTGGACTTTAAGTATAGTTCGTTTTTTAAAGGTGATTTTTCTAAGTGTTCCCAATACTGACTTCTATGTATATTATAGAGGTCTGCTATTTTATATATATTAGTTATAGTATACGAATTTGTGTTTTTGTCTCTGTACTCCTCCTACTTTTGTTTTTATTGGGTAGCAAATCTTAAGGTTTAATTTATGGAGTGTAAAGTACAAGGAGGACCATCTCTAAATACGAAAAGTGTCCCTAAAAACGCGTCCAACAAGGGTGGCGCTGCAGTAGCATAGGATAAATAAAAAAAAGCGCCAAAATTAATTAGAATAAGATGGAGAAATAAACAAGGACCGACCAATCCTGGCATTTTACTAAATATTCTAATCATGAAATATTTTAAATATTTGAATTCAGCTGACTTCACTCCCTTCACAACAGCTATCTTCATATCGTAGTTTTTCAGACGCCAGCGCTATTGTGGTAGGTTTTGGAACCTCTATTTTTAGTAAATAGTAGGACACTTTTTCAACTTTCGCCCCCTTATAAGATGTTTCTCCTTGTACTCTATACTCCATACTTCATGGGCGCAACGCGCTTATTTATATCAACTGCACATGCGCGAGCGTGACACTACTATCTCCCGCTTTTTTTGTACTCTACACTCCATAGTTTAATTAAAATAATTTTTTTTCTGTTTACTATACTCTGATATAATGCTTTCAACTAGGTCTTCTGTACCGCTGCCCAGCAAACCGGGCCCCCAAGGAACCGGACGGTTCAGGGGTGCTGATGTGCGAGAATGGTATTGAGCCCACTCAAGTCATGTACGACTCCTGCCTCAGCGCAGAGGATAAAGATCTTTATGTCGCCGAGAATAAGTACTTCTTTTGTAATCGTAAGTATTAACGTTGTTTCTTTTCTTTCTTTTAGCTGTGTAGTAAGTAGTAAGTTTTAAAAAAAATCAACACTAACTACTATAGTTGCTACCAATATTCGGATATTATTCGGTATTTGTCCTATACGGCTACTTTTATCTTATTCGGTCGAATACCGAATACTTAAGAGGTTTTATTGTAGTCAGATAATTGGTGAAATGAAAACATTTATTTATTTTATAATGAATTTTTTATTGCATATAAAAAATTAATTATAATAAATAATTAATTCCTTGCTATTAATATATATCGTATATCTATTATCGTCACTGCGTTGCTAGCGATACGTTTTGCCAGCAACGCAAATTTCAACAGTTCGTTGCGACGAAAATTTTAGAGCACCTAATTTTTAAACTTGGCACCTAATTAGCACCTAAAAAGCTCTTAGTTTTGGCTTTTTCTAAATGCTAATTCCTGACATTGCGTTGCTGACGAGACAAAACTGGTCTGCTCTGGTTAAATATGCACGATGAGGTTCATTTTTTAAGTGCATCATAGAAAATTTACCGATGAATTTGCTATTGATTTGTATTTTGTATATATGCACTCGTATGGTATATAATATTCAGAAAGAACTTAAAGAACAAAAAGATTTTTAGTTTTTTTCCCCACTGTTTTTCTTTTATAGAATAAGGGTGACCAACGAAACACAGTCCATCTAATGGTAAGTGGATGCTGTGGCCTTTAGACATCTACATCTATCCTGGGTTAAGAATAAAAATGCAGATGCCACCATTAAGATGGAATGACTCGTTTCCAGTAAAAAAAAGGTCTCCGTTTCTCTACATTTACCATGCGAAACACAACAGTATTAAACTGCTATTTTATACTAGTATTCTATGAGAACTTGGTCCTTCCCCAGTCGAGGCAAACCATTCGTGCTACAACCATAATATAGCTGCAGCATAACTCCACCACGTATACAAATATATATGTTAAACTACTCTGTGGAAATGACCCGAAAAATCATCAGAAGTTTGATTTTAGCTCGCAGTATAGTATATAATCATACATAATGTACTTGCCAACCCGCTTGCTAAGCGTGGCAGCTATGATACTTATAAAAAAAGCGAAGGTTCTCAATGAGGGCTAATAATTTTCTGCGCACCAGATGTCGCTAGTTGACACTGAGGCAAAGTTTTTTGTTACACAGTGTAATTTAATTGAGAGTGGTTGGTTTTTAATAAAAATTTATCAGTTTCTAGAGCATTATATTAATACACAAAACAATGCGTCAGTGGTTTGCTCTTTAATTTCTTGCACATTTTTAACTTTTTTTTTTTAATTTTTCTACATTTAATAGTATCTGTGGTTTGGTTTATTTATTTTTAATGTTATCAATATAAAATATAGCTAATAGTACAGAAAGAAACAATAACGTTCACATTTTCCGAATAAATTAACTTGACCCGTTATGAAATGTCAAATATTATACCTCACTTTCTAGTGGCGCCGCCCTGGTGGCAGAAAAAGTCGTGGATGTCTTTGTATGTATGGTACGCGATATCTTCGCAGATTGTGAACCGATTTTAATGATTCCTTTTTTTATTAAATAGGTTATACTTCAAGGGTGGGTCCCATATAAATTTGGAGAAAAATCTCCATCCTAAGGGTAGCAAATAAATAACTTCTTTTGTAGTAGTCTGAAGACGGTTTTTACTTTTTGGTAAAAGTTATAATTATTTTGCAAAAAGGTTTTGGTCAGAGAGGAGATTCATTTCAAAAGGGTAGTTACCGCTACCGTTACCGTTAAAGCCTATTAATGTCCACCACCACAATTTTTAGTCGTTATTAGGAAGACCCTGCTGCTCATTTGGTTTGTTTCCCACTGTCGCCTCTTACGACACCCATAGGATGGTATGTGGTAGTGGATAATTCTTACACCGCCACTACACGCTCTAAGTGGTAGTTAATTTGATAATAAATACCGGGTTATCTTGTAATATACATCCGCAGATAAGGTTCAGAATAAGTAATATAGGCTAATGGTGAAGAAAAATTAAAAAAAAAATCTCAAACATACTGTTCTTTTTATATTTTAAATTCGGAATGCGTGATAATGCCTTATTTTAAGTGATTGTCATTCATAAATATCTAACTCCTACTATTTTACTACGCACGCACACATTCGCAAGGGTCGCTCGGTCGGCAAAAACGTTGTGAATTGAATCGCACACAGAGGAGCGCACGTACGCGTAGTATATATAAGATAATTTCAAATAATTCGGGAAATCCAAAAGTGCTCGCCTCATTAGCGTTTCTTTTAATTTTGATGAAAAAAATAAATTGTATTCCTGGCTTTCAAAATATATCATAGAGATAATGCCTTATTTTAACTGATTGCCATTCATATATATCTATATTCATAAATATCTAACTCCTTCTTTTTACTACGCACGCACACATTCGAAAGGGTCGCTCGGTCGACAAAAACATGGCTTCGCGTTATGAGGTGTGCAATAAATGTAGAAGCATTATTTACTCGTATTTTCAAAAACTGCAATAACGTTATATCATTATTTATATAAACTTAAATATAAAATTTGAATACTCTTTGTAAAATAAACCTGTATCTTTCATTTCATTTGTTTTCTTCCATACAGGACACAAGGTGGAAGGTCCAGACCTGCCTCGCAACGGCAGCGCCGTGATTGGCTGCGCACCCATGGAGAGGACCTCTTTAAACTATACCAGTGCCAAGTGCGCCCTGGAGGATACTGAGGATGTTGTTGTACACTACCGCTACTACCCGGACAGGGTAGGCCATTTTTTTATTACGTACGAGCAGCTATGCAGGTCTAGAGAGACCAGTATCACTGCGACCTAAAATATCTATTGTGATCGTTGCTATGTCTATAGTTCACTGCTAAGCCCTACGTCTTCGATGAATAGGAGTTGCTTAGCTGTGAGCAATTTCACTTCTTCGGGGTGGGGAAAACTTTTGAATGTGGGCTAATTGTTTTGTGCTCACCAGATGTCGCTAGTTGACACTGAGGTAAAGTTTTTTGCTACACAATGTCATTTAATTGAGAAGTTAGTTTTCAATAAAAGTTTATCAGTTTCTAGAGTATTATTGCGCGCCACCATTAATGACTGGTACATGGCGACACTAGTTAGTTAGTATTATATTATTAATACACAAAACAATGCGTCAGTGGTTTGCTCTTTAATTTTTTGCACATTTTTAACTTTTTTAAAAATTTTCTACTTTTATGAATATCTGTGGTTTGGTTTTTTATTTTTAATCTAATTAATATAAAATATAGCTAATATTACAAAAAAAAAACATAAACCATTACATTGTCCAAACAAATTTCTACTTCCCCGCTATGAAATCTGTCAAATATTACAGGTCACTTTTAAGAGACGCCGCCCTGGTGGCAGAAAAAGTCGTGGATGCCCTTATTAAAGGATTATATATTATATGTCGCAGGTTTATAGTAAAATCAGGTTTTTCATCAAAAACCTAGGCTTTTGATCAAGAAACGGAAGAAGACAAAGTTACTTCTTAATTTTATTATTAACCCGAAAGGCCTAGGTTTTTGATCAAAAACCAGGTTTTATCATAAACATGTGACATATATGTATAAAAAGGTAATTTTAATCATCTTCATCATCGATGATAAAACTGCGTGTCTACTTCCATCATGCTCTCGCTCATTCGTAAAAGTTCGTTTAATTTCGACGCTTGCTAGAAACCTTCAGCTTCGGCCAAATCTTCGGACCACTTTGGCTAAAGCCGAAGTTTTCGCCGAAGGTGATTTTTTTGGGCGAAGGTGAATTTTTTTTGAAAATCATTGATTTTCATATCTGGAAGTTAATATCATACAGTATAACGGCAGTTAATACATATTGTTGCGCGCCACTATTAATGTCTTGTACATGGCAACACTAGTTACCACTAGCGCCCTCTAGTGTCGAGTAACAGAACTAGGTCAAGATCCTTCTAGAAATATCGGGACCGATATGAACTCGAACATTCTAGACGTTTCTATAGTAGAAGGTTCTGGAAACTACCTGAGGCCCTATATAAGGCCGGTATAGACCGCAACCGAGTGAGTATTGAATTGGCGATATAAGCGAATACTTCGAAGCGATACAACTGCGAACTAAAGTGATTAGTAGTACAATTGTGTTTTATTATTAGTGTGGTTTTAGATTGTAATTAGTGTTCTGTAATTGTCTCTAATCTCTGTAAGTGTCAATTTTGGTAATTCAATCGGCAGTTTTTAATTATCTCGAACTCCAAGCTCGTAACAATATTAACATCGATTAATTTGTTTAAGACAACAATTTGCCATATTGTGCCTTAGCAATGAGTTGCAGTTCTAAGGGCGACAGGTTCGAATCTCGCAAGAAACAAGTATTTGTATTGCCTACAAAAATTTGTTCCGAGTCTAGATGTTTGTCCTTGTGAAATTTATGTATGTAAACTGCTTCCACGACACAGCAGAGCAATCCTACTGTACAAGTAACGTTTAAAAAATAAAATAAAAAATGTAAATATAGATACGACTATCGATATTTAAATACATCGACGCAAGACAGATATCGATAATCATTGAAATCGATTATTTTATCGATATATGTAACGATATTTGATGAATGAAGAAAAACTTTACTATTATTACTGTGGATAAACCAAACTATGGATATTTGTTAAAGCAAAATTAAAAAATAAATTAGCCAATTGCGAGTCGGACTCGCGCATGTAGGGTTCCGTACCATCGTAATATATGTTTCTATGTAGTAGGAGAGCCCCTTTCAATTTATATTATTTTTTATTATTTGTTGTTATAGTGACAACAGAAATACATATTTTGTGAATATTCAACTGTCTACCTATTACGAATCATTAGATACAGCCCGCTGACAGACAGACGGACGGACAGCAGAGGTTTAATAATAGGGTCCTGTTGGTTACCCTTCGTGTATGGAACACTAAAAAAGAGAGATAAAATATTTGCAAATAATCAAAGGGAGAGACACTGTTTTGTGTAGTATAATATATATGTAGCAATTTTTCATTTATGGTAACACTGTGTAACAGATAACTTCACGTCAGTGCCAGCTATCGACATCTGGTAAGCGAAAGATACCTATCCCTCATTCGGGGATGCCTAGCCTAGCGTTGCCTAGCCTAATGTATTTACTTTCAGACATACAAATTCGTGACGGAACTGGACCCTGACCACGAGGTCTGCGACCACTGGAACCCATGCCAGATTGGATATATCTACTCTCTCCCTACTCCCGACCAGGCTGTGATTGCAAACGAGCTATGGCGTGAGTATTTCAACGTTAATATACATCAATACTAAGGGTAGAGCCTAACTAGAAGAGCCGAACTAAAGAGCTAGCGCTAACCATATGAGCCGTGGTAGCTCATATGGTTAGCGCTCGCTGTAAATTTCACAGTACGCGAGCAACCCGGGTTCGATCCCCGCCGGCACTAATAAAATTTTTAATTGCAATTTTAAGTACTGATTTACCACGTGCTAGACAGGGAAGGAAAACATCGCGAAGAAACCTGCATATCTGAGAAATAAGAAAAAAAATATTTCAAAGACATGTGAAGTTTGCCAATAGAATAGAATATAGAATAGAATATTTTTTTATTCAATATACATTACATGTGTAATTCTTATTGAAAGTCATTTTTTACTTTACCACTGGTTCGAAAAAAACCCTCTGTCCTGGGAAGAACCAGCAAGAAACCCAGCGGGACTTTTTTTTTAAAATAAATTTTACAATATAAATGATTACGAACTATTTACAAAATTTATTTTAGAAACTGCTTGGAAGCGATCACCTCATTCCCAGGGGTTATTATCAACCATGTATTCATTTATACTATAATAACCCTTTTTATACAGTTTCAGCTTAATAAAACATTTAAACTTGGTAATAGAGAGAACCTGTACACTTTCCGGGACCTTGTTGTAATAGCGTATACATTGCCCCAAGAATGAATTACTGACTCTGTGGAGTCGAGAAACTGGTATCACTAGATTGTGTTTGTTCCTAGTGTTTACAGAATGTATATCACTTCTTTTACTAAAACTATCTTTGTTTTTGTGAACATACATTAAATTTTCGTAAATATACTGAGAGGCCAAAGTTAATATATTAATTTCTTTAAATTTATCTCTAAGAGACTCTCTCGGTTTTAGATTGTAAATAGCTCTAATGGCCCTCTTCTGTAAAACAAAAATAGTTTCTGAATCAGCCGCATTTCCCCATAGCAAAATCCCATAAGACATTATGCTATGAAAATAACTAAAATAAACTAATCTAGCTGTCTCGACACTAGTGAGACCTCTAATCTTTTTTACAGCATAGGCTGCAGAACTTAGTCTGCTTGCTAATTTGGATATATGGGGGCCCCACTGGAGCTTTGCGTCAAGAGTGATGCCAAGAAAAACAGTGGATACAACAGGGCTCAATTCCTCCCCATTTAAAAACACATTGGTATTCAGATTTTGAACATTCGTTGTTGTAAATTTAACACAATTAGTTTAATACGCATTGGGGCAGCGCGGCGGACGTTTCCTTGTCCTAAAACAATCTAAGAAATGAGAGGCGGCCTGTGTCTAGCAGTGGGACGTATATAGACTGTAACTTTAATACTAGCCGTGTAGTGGCGGTGTAAGAATATCCAGTATCCCATATCATCCCGTGGGTGTCGTAAGAGGCGACAGAGGGAAACTGAAACTGAAGATGGGCAGCAGTATATTCCTTATAACAGTTTAACGTTGTAAAAAGTCAGCGGTTGCCAACCCGTTTGCCAAGCGTGCCAACTAAGGTAAAATCCCCCCTAAGAGGAATCTTTGGGAGAGGCTGATGTTCAATAGTGAATTCTTACATTATAGGCTGTAATGGATGTAAGGAATACTAACTTTAATAATGGACAAAGTCCACTGTTGACATAGGCCTCCCCCATAGTTTACAGTATAGGTGGGATATTTGCCATAGTTCACCTCTCAGTAGGACATGTGCTCCTGGTAGATTATCTTCCATACATCCATCCATTACAGCCTGTTAAAGTACACTGCTGAACATAGGTCTCCCCCATTGATTACCTAATAGGTGGGATATTTGCCATAGTTCACCTCTCAGTAGGACATGTGCTCCTGGTAGATTGTCTTCTATACATCCATCCGTTACAGCCTATTAAAGTCCACTGCTTAACATAGGCCTCCTTCATAGATTGATTACCTTATAGTTTATAGGTGGGATAATTGCCATAGTTCACCTCTCAGTAGGACATGTGCTCCTGGTAGATTATCTTCTATACATCCATCCGTTACAGCCTATTAAAGTCCACTGCTTAACATAGGCCTCCTTCATAGATTGATTACCTTATAGTTTATAGGTGGGATAATTGCCATAGTTCACCTCTCAGTAGGACATGTGCTCCTGGTAGATTATCTTCTATACATCCATCCATTACAGCCTATAAAAGTCTACCGCTGAACATAGGCCTCCCCCATAGATTGCCGCATAGGTGTAATATTTGTCATAGTTGCCACGCTTTGTAAGCGGGTTGGCATCGCAGTGTTTTATTTATAGTCGTTATCAGGTAGACGCTGCTGCCCATCTCTTGATTTGTTTCTCTCTGTCGCCTCTTACGACACCCACGGTACGATATGGGCTAGTGGATATTCTTACACCACCACTACACGGTGATCCTTGCCGGCACCAATGATATAGTTTTAAGAAGGAAAACATCGTCAGGAAACCTGCACATCTGAGAGATAAAAAGTATTTCGAACACGTGTCCACCATTACGCATCGGGGCAGTGCGGTGGAAACTTCCTTGCCATAAAGTCTTCTCAGAAATGGTATGAGTCTTATTCTCAGCATTGGGAAGTAAAAGACTGTAACTTAACTTTTTTTACAGGGCTTTATACCTGGTAGAGGCATGCTGCAGTCAGATTATGATTGTAGCACAAATGGGTTGGTTCGACCGGCGTAGGATAACGCTCTTACAGAATACCAGCCTGAAATAGCAGCTTAATGCTGCTGTGTTTAGTATGAACAGTGTTTTACCGGAGACCCGTTTTACCGGGCATTCCATCTTAGTTTTCTTCCTCGTGTGTATTTTGATTCTCAAAGTTAAAGTTACATCCTATATAGGCCCCATTGCTGTCCACAGGCCTCCTCTCATTTCTGAGAGAGTTTGAGGCAAGGAAATGTCCGTCGCGCTGTCTTAATACGTTGGTGAACTTCACATGTCTTGGAAATATATTTTTTTTTCTTATTTTTCAGACATGCAGGTTTCCTCACGATGTTTTCCGTCACCGCCGTGCAAGTGGCAGCGCTTAAAATTGCAATTAACTATTTCATAGGTGGCAAATTTACAGTGAGCCTTAGCACCTGCTACCATGGCTCTTAATTTTGATTTTTTAACCAAGGATTATCCTTGATTAAGAATCAATTTCAAAGAGACATAGTCATATCTACATCTAACCTTGTCCATTTGATTTAAAGTAATTTTTTTTTGCTTTCAGGTGATTATAGTGAGTATTGATTATGAATTATATGAAACTTGAATTGTTTGAAGTGACTACTTTTTTAGTCTAGTTTAGCGATTTTTGGTAGGGGAAAAACTTATGAGTTCGCATCACCAATGACCTCGACATGCTAGTGATGTCACGAGCATGCCTACTACGGCTTGCGTCAAACTAGCGATGCGTAGTATAGCGGCCGGTGTACATGTATACACATATTATATCATTGCGTTGTCACTTCTGTCAGCAATCCTTATGACTGCCTCTGTTTATTTTTTCTTCTAATATTGATGGGCAATTGAGGTAAAAAGTAATAAGCCGTACTGCCTTCTAGAAAAAGTAGTTGAGAGGACAATTCTGTTAGCTGTACTTCTACATGTGGACGTAAGTAGTTCGCTGCTGAATACGGACAGCATGGCAGTAGGTGGGATTACCCACCTTCGTCAAACAGACTGGTGATAGTAGTATCATCGCTTATAACATATTCCTGTTGCCGTTCTTGGGAGTTTCAGAGTTTCTCATGGGATGAGATCTTTTTCTTCTCATCAGCATATGAAACCCATTCCTGGTCATGACTTTGACCTTTTGGAACGCTGCTTTTATGAAATATGATTTTACACTGCCAAGAATTCCAATTCTGTAATCCAGTCAGAACTCTTTTTTTACCAGGTTTTTATTAGCTCGCTTTCGTGCATGTTCGTTTTGGGTCTAATTTAGTAATTGGTTTGAAATTAACTTCAGTTTTAGAACATATTAGTTCAGAATCGGATGACAATGGAAGAATATGAAAAAAAAAACATGGAAAAAGTCAAGTTTCTATTATTTCTTTGACTGTTTTGATGTAATGAATGTTTTCCAAATTAAATTCCCCCAATTTCCTCAAGGAAGCATATTAGGACCTATATTATTTTTTGCTGACATCATAACAACATATTACGACAATTATTTATCTGAGTATGTTCTTTCAATTTTTAAGTACATAAAATAATAAAATAAAATAATTAATATTCGCTTTTTATTTGATTTTGTAGCTGAGAGTAAGTTTATTTTCATTCCTAATAAAGAATTTTTTGATACCGAGAATATATTTTATTACATATTTATTTCTTAATTTCAGGAAACGAGGGTAAGATTTCTATTACTATTTATTTTTTTTAAACCTGAACTCTTTTTTGGGGATTGGGTTAATTTGGTTAAAAGAATTTATATATATGACTAAGTCAGTTTTCCGTATAGCCCAACTGATTACCAACATGATAGAATTATGCGGCAGTCGTATTGTGGTTGCCTCACGAATGTGTCTGTTCGACCAGGGAAGAATATGGTTAGTATAGAGAACGAGAATCGGAGGCCTTTTTCAGGTTTCCGTAACCAAAGGGTAACCAATGGGATCCTATTACTAAGCCTTCGCTGTCCGTCCGTCTGTCTGTCAGCGGGCTGTATCCCATGATCCGTAATAGGTAGACAGTTGAAATTTTCACAGAATGTGTATTTCTGTTGCCGATATAACAACAAATAATAATAATTAAAATTGATAGGGGAATCCCCTACTAGAAACGTGTTTTACGATAGTACGGAATCCTTCATGCGCGAGTCCGACTTACATTTGGCTGGTTATTACTTTTAACGAGGCATACTGTCTTAGTATTCAGGCGTGAAACCCCATTTACATTTTGATTCTTAATCGAAGACAGATGTAGTTGCCTATGGGCCACAGTACCCACTTACAATCAGGTTGACTGTGTGCTCGTTTATCACCATCATTCTAAAAAA